TTATTGGAATGTGTATTGCGCTGATTGGATTCGGAAAGTGGAATGTCTGCGGTTTTGCGGTTAATTAGCTCCGGGGCGGTAAAAAAGGTGAGATTGTGAGCCGAGCCGTCGTAGGAGGGGGAGGACCGATAGGGGGTATAAAAAACCTGTCAGACCTTGTTTCGGGGTTCCTCCGTTGCTGCGGGAGGGACCCACCTTTGCAAACATGCCCAATAAAAAAAAACTTCTGTCTACTGGACAACCGAACCCGTGTCTGTCGTTTTCTGACACATAGGCAAACCAAGCTGAGCCTGTTATCACTTGACAGTTACATGCTGGACCAGCTGCATTTTCCAAATGGTCTTTAAAGGCAGTCCTATGTAGAATGAGTTGCAGTAATCCAAATGTCAGATGGTAAGGTCATGAGTGACTGTCTAGAAAGCCTTCTGTTCTAGCACAGTGGATGAAATGTAAGATCAGTTGGTTTAGACCAGTGTTTCTCAACCTTGGCTACTTTATGTGGACTAAAATTCTGGGAGTTGAAGTCCATACATCTTAAAGTGGCCAAGGTTGAGAAACTGGTCTAGACTAGTGGGCCCTTCTGTTCCCATTTGTACTGGTAGCTGCTGAAGCTGTTACTGCAGGATTCCCCCTCTCCTGCAACTTTTTTCACAATATTATACCTAGGTGAAGTGCATGATGCCTGGGCCAAGAAATCTAATGTAAACCTCTAAACATACTGACACACACTTAGATTCTCAAATGCACGTTCATCCAAAACAAAGTATATGGCTGCCCTATTTTTTTGCTTACTGTGTCTTCTTTTTGGAAGTGAAACAGTTGTGGTCCAACATATGATAGCAGCTGTATTCAAATTAAGGGATGATTTTCTGCTTAAAAATTGAGAAGGGAAATCCTCGTAATTTTGTTCAAGATTTTTTTTCAGTGTGAATTATTTCATTGCCCTTTGATACAATGGACTATTGAGAACATTTGCTCCCTTTCCCCCTCTCTATTGCACACAATTTGCATTCATTTGGAAAGAAATAACATTATGACTGCTATTCCAGTTGCTTCAGTTACTCTTACGTCTTGATTGTTCCTGGGTACAATTTAGGATCAAATCCAGGATTGTGTCCCTCTAGTTGATTGCTTTATTAACTGTTTTTGCCTGAAACAGTCATTTAGGATATCTAGACTTTCAATTTATCACATCTAAGACATGCATTAGCCTATCTAATGTGAGAGTGAATGAAATTGCTTATTGTTACTATATAGCACTATTACCTAGTACCAAATCACTCACTGGGATTGAGTTCAAGGTTAGTTTGTAATGCATCCAAGACAAATAATTTTTGGTGATAAAAGGTAACAAGAGCTATGGAATTTCTTATTTAATTTATATAACTTAAAAAAAATACTGTTGTCAGAACCTGCATCAACCAACAATTGTTAATTTACAAAGCATAGCAGTCAATGGGAGTTTGTTTGATTTGCTTCTGCCAATTGTGACTGGGGAGGGGGCTAGTAGTTAAGGTTGTAATAGTAGTAGTAAGGGGAGATGGTGAGGAGCTTAACCTTATATGGGCAATGAGGCCGGGTCTGACTGCAGGCAAGGCCAGTGGGGGCCTGATGGCCAGGAAGAAGCTATGTATCCCTGGGAGGAAGGAAAGAGGTCACCACCAGGTGAAGAGGAATTGAGGTGCCAGGGCAGTAAGGGGAGGGGGGATAAATAGAGGGACATTTTCCAAGGCTTTAGTTTTAGCAATGTTTGGTTCAAGCTACATGTACCACAAAATAAAGGAGCATTTTTCTGAACCAGGCCTGGTTTCATGAGAATTCTTTGGAATTGGGGTGTGGACATTGTCGACTTGACAACTGTCTTGCATTTAAAAGTTAAGACAGATGAATAAAGAAATGTTTCCCATTTCTTAATAGATTTGTATGTGTTAAGACAGAAGCCATGAGAAAACAAAAGGGGAAGGAGAAGGATGACATTATTAATAAATTTGTGAATTCTAGTTCATAAACAAGGCAGAGAAATTGCTCATTTGGAAGTAACTGAAATTTGGAAGTAGCAGATAAATAACCATGTCTGGCAGAAATGCTGCTTTTGTGAGATGCATTTCCACAGATGTATAAAAATGTTCTTTTCATTCATATGGGCTGTTTATAAAAGAAAATAATGCATTGGAAAGAATAAAAGGTCTTTATTCTTTTCTAAATCACATCTAAAGTGTGACAGATTTGTATAAATATTTACATGCTAACTCTCATAGCTTCTGCCAGCGAATTCTGGGAACCTTTATACAGTGATTTCTTCCAAGGAAGAAATGGTGAACCAAAGACAACTTTACTAAAAGCAGAGCCAACAACTGTGGCAGAATGAAGAGCCGGTGAGTAGACCAGCTCTTCATAATTCCTCTCCGGACAAAGAGAGGACTTGGGATCACCCACAAGTGCTTCAGACAGTTGCTCCTCTGAGGAGACCGCAAGACAGTGGTCTCCAGTGGGTTTAGAGCTCTGGGAGGGGATTGCCATCTTCACTCAAACATGGTCAGTGCCTTTTCAAAGGACCCTGGGTTTGCATACTTTCTTTTGTAGTCACTTTTGGAAATTGTTAACTGCTTTTCAGCTATTAGGAACCTTTGGATCAACAAGTTTTACAGCACCAGATGAGTTTCCTTCAATCCTTAGCAAAATAAGTTTAAGTACAAGTTTAATGACTTAAAAAAATATTTTGGAATAAACAGCAAAAGGGTTATTAGAACTTTGATTTTGGAAAGTTACAAATGGACAAGGGTCAAGATGGATTTGAAATAAGATTTTGGAATTAATTACAAGAATCCTTCCTCAAAAGGGTTATTAGAACTTTGATTTTGGAAAGTTACAAATGGACAAGGGTCAAGATGGATTTGAAATAAGATTTTGGAATTAATTACAAGAATCCTTCCTCAAAAGGGTTATTAGAACTTTGATTTTGGAAAGTTACAAATGGACAAGGGTCAAGATGGATTTGAAATAAGATTTTGGAATTAATTACAAGAATCCTTCCTGTGGGAAAATGCTTTTGTTTTGAATTCTCTTAAAAAAACATGATAGGATGAGACTTTGAAGGTTGGACACTAGAAGGAACCAGAAGGAACTAAAGATTACAGTTAAAGGAGAAGAACACTTAAATTTGACTTACTAGTACGGAATGGAGCAAAATACTTTAACATTAAACACATTGAAGGATATTTGTGAACAATGGACCCAGAAGTTAATTTTAAGAGTGTCTGCCCTTATAGACAGACTGTGTTTAAAAGATGTTATGGAAGATGAACAAGTTTTACTGGATAAGGCTGAGACTGATCTGAAAGTGGATTTAAAAATGACAGGCTGTAAGAATGATATGGAAAAAGATACTACATTGGATTTACAAATGAAACCGGCTGATGTTTTGATAATTAAAAGGGATATACAAATAACAAACCAAAAGAATGACCTGGATAACTTTCCTATATGGATTTACAAAAGAGACTTGTTAAAGCTTTGAAGAATTCTGTAATAAGGGACAAAGAAAAAATGCAGTCAAGTTCTAGGACATTATTTGAATGGATTAAATATCAAGATTTTAAAAGCTAAAAGTAAAGGGAAGGAATATAAAGTTAGTTTATTTGATCAAGA